AATACTCCATCGTGTAAATGGACCACATTTTCATTATCCATTCATCAGTTGTTGGACATCTAGGCTGTTTCCATTTCCTGGCTATTAGGAATAGAGCAAAAATGCTGCATATTCTTGCTATTGAGATAACGGCCACTAAAATATATGCTCAATAAGAAAACCGAGATCTTCTTTTTTTATATTTTAAGGTCCAAGTTGTGATGAATGTATCTTTCTCCTTTGAGCTTGCATATTGCAAGAGAACATAGTAGATCATTTTGATTTGTGTGAATAGGCAGCATCTAAAAATGTACTTCATGATACCAACTCTCATTAGAAAAGTGGCCCTAGGGAAGGAAGAAGAAATACATATCACACATTCATGGACAGGTGACAGAAGTGTGAGTCTGTTATATATCCAACAGGCACAAGTGACACCTAGATATTTATGGTACATCAGTCTTGCTCCCACAGAGTAATCAGAAAAATATGGGGCAAAGGAATCTAAAAACTGTTAGTTCAAGAAAACACTTAGGATTTATTTCATTGTTGCAAGGGCTTAGTGTTTCATTACCCTACTAGTGAAAAAAAATTCCCCTTCCCCACACCAAGATGATAATTTAGCTTTAAAATATACAACAACTTAAAGGATTTAGGAAACACCACTAAAAGACTCTGTCTATATATCTCTGTATCTCTGTATCTCTGTATCTCTGTATCTATCTATCTATCTATCTATCTATCTATCTATCTATCCCTCTCTCTTTTTCTTCCTCTCCTAATTAGGTTTTTTATAGTATATTTGTGAGGCTGATAAATAGTCTCCCCCCCCCATCTAATTTTTGTTTGCGTGATGCTTTGTTTTTTTTTTTTTTGTATATAGGATCTCACTATGTATGTAGCTTAGGCTGACCTCAGAGTTGTGATTCCTCTGATTCTATTAAAATAGTTTAGAGCTCCCTTTTCACTATATCTAAGAGATTCTATACTTCAGTAACTTGAGCTATATACAGAAAAGAAACATTGCTATTGGAGCTGCAGTCGTGGTACAGAGGTTAAGAGCATTGGCTACTCTTCCAGAGGACCCAGTTTTAGTTCCCAGCACCCACATGGCAGCTCACAACTGTCTGTAACTCAGTTTCTGAGGCTCCAGTGTCCTCTTCTGGCCCCCCAGAAGCAATTAATTCACACAGAGTATGAACATACATGCAGGCAAACATTCATATACATAAAATAGAAAGAAACATTTGCTACTTAGAGCACTGATGACAAGCTAGATTCTACTGCATGGATATATGATGGGTAAACATATTCTGTTACATATATGTATGTAAGCCTTCATTTAATACCAGAATCTCTTGTAAAAAAAAAAAGCACAGTCATTTCATTTGTAGAAATGAGAACACTGAGGCTGGGAGAGTATAATTGTCTAAGGTTCCATAGCTAACAGCCAGATTCAGGTTCAAGCAAAGGGTCTTGTACCTTCAAAAGCAAGGCTTGAGAATACAAGTTAATGAGTTAACAAAGAATTTAGCATGCCAACAGTAAACCAGCCTCCAGTATGTTGAGAACAGAAAAGCAACCCCAGCCTGGATTTCAGGGGTGGCAACTAACCTTTTCACAAGTATTTTTCATGCATTCTCTGAGCTCCTTGCATTGTGTGTTGTGCATGAGACAGCCTCATTCCTGCCTTTTAAGAGCTTCCAGTCTAGATGCTGACTAAGCCATCCAGCCAGTGATCCAGCAGCTCCGAAGTGCTATGAAAGTGAGTGAAAACATGTCACAGAAGGACCTTCTGACTGCCAAGTAGACTCTCGAGATGATGGGGAGGAGGTGAAAAGACATCGTTTAACAACAGCCAACGGAATGATTTTAACAAGAGGTCTTTGACAGATTCAACAGGCATTGACAGGGTGGACACCAGCTACATTCAAGACAACAAATCCTGTTCCATAAGCCACTCCAGTGTGCCGCGGCCTGTCTTCTGCTTCATAAATAAAGGCATCTCCTAAGAGAAGGTTGCTTTCTGTTAAGAGATCACAGGGCATTTAAAGATTTCGTTATTATCTTAAAAGGGACATGGAGATAAGATACTCTTCCATATAGGGAGCCTGGTTAGCTTAAGGACACAGGGTGGAGTGCTCCATACCAGATTACATACAGGAAAGGACCACAGAATTGGCGCATTCAGGTCGTGTCTCACTCCAATGCATCTAACTGTGGAAACTCAATCAGGTCCAGAAATGAATCAATTTCCTTTGCCTATGTCCTTAAATTTGATGAATAGAGCCTTTGCTTAGAGCTACTGAAGCTGCTATTCATCTCAGTTAGTTGCTAAATAAAACGTTGTTCTTGGATGTAATTCTGGTGAATATGACTTTGGAGATTTTTTTTTTTCGTTTTACTATGTAAGCCCAAATTATTCCCCAAGTGATTCTACACTTGAGCTATTTTTGTTACACATGCTCCATATTTCTTTCCACATTAGACTAGCAACTCAGAAGACCACATTTTGTTGCTGAATATAAGGCAAAGTCTAGCACAAATATATACTTTGTGATAAACAGCCAACATCATCCTCATTGAGAATTACTTTTCTTTCTTATATGTATATATGTGTGTGTGTGCACATTATGTGTATATGCAAGTAGCTGTGTATGCATGTGTGTGTGTGTATGTGTGTGTGTGTGTGTGTGTGTGTGTGTGTGTGCTTGTACATGCGTGTGCCTTGTGCCTGTGTGTAAGCTAGAGGTTGGTGTCTGGTGTCTTCCACAATTGCTCTCCACAGAGTCTTTCACTGAACCTGAAACTCACTGATGCAGGGTAGCCAAGCAACCTTTTCCAGAGATCTGCCTTCAGCACTTGGGTTACAGGTGGGCAGAACTGTACCTGAGTTTTACATGGGTGCTAAGAATCCAAACTCAGGCCCACGAACCTGTTTAAAAGAATTTTACCCCAAGGTGGGCGTTGGTGGCGCATGCCTTTAATCCCAGCACTCAGCAGAGGCAGATGGATCTCCATGAGTTCGAGACCAGCCTGGTCTGCAAGAGCTAGTTCAGGATAGCCGCCAAAGCCACAGAGAAACCCTGTCTCAAACAAACAAAAAAAAGCATTTTACCCACTGAGCCATCTCCCCAGCCCCTAGGAATCATAAATACTTTTCTAATCAGTGCAACTTGATAATCTGGGGAAAGTTTTGAGCCTTTATACATACACAACTTCATTACAATGGAAGATAAAGCTTATGTAAACAAGCCTGGTTCTGATCAGAGAATTAGCAACATTGAGCTGAAATAGGGTTGAGTGAGACTTTTTTCACTCCATAATCCAGAGTCTGCTGGTTTCTGTGGTTAAGAAAGAGCTCAGTCATAGAACTAATGAATGCTAGGATGTAACTGGGCTGAAAGTATTGTATTCCCCTTTCTTTACATTTTTAAATAAAGTGTTATTTTTAATATCAATGAGGCATGTTTATAGCTTAGAAACAAATGTAACAACTAAAAGCCTTGCTACACACTTGCTTTCTGTCTTCAGAGAATAGCCTTTGTGACCAGTTTCCAGAATGTATACTTCTTTAAAGCTTTCTAAACCACAGGACTAAGGTTTAGATTAGTATGACCTAGAGAGTGGGACCCATGTACCCAGAAATCACACAGCTCCTGGCAACATGTTAGTCCATTTGAATTGGATGTAATCAAGACTGCATGAAGTAAACCATCTTATTAGTCTCTTAAAGTATTTGTGAATTTTATACAAGCATGGGAGGCTGTGTTGTACAGTGAACACTAGAATTCTGGTGCAAGCAGCGGTGTGTTGAGTGGAAGGTTTCATAGAAGAAATTTCTGGTCCTGCTGGGCTGGGGGTTACAGTGTGCCTGGCTAAGGAGTTCCTGTTGTTTTGTTGAGAATCACAGAAGCTGAGTCACATTGCTGATCGTTTAGGAAAATGTAAGATGTTTAATTGTTTAATTATTAAAGATAGTTTAGGGACCAGGAATGTAGGTGAATAGTAGACTATGCTTGCTTGCCTGATATGTATGAGTGCCTAGGTTTGCTCTCCAGGACTGCCAAGAAAGAAAGCAATGTTTCTGTCTCTCTCTCTCTCCCTCTCTCTCTCCCTCTCTCTCTCTCTGTGTGTGTGTGTGTGTGTGTGTGTGTGTGTGTGTTTTAACTCAAGAATACCACCCAGAAAAAAATAGAGTATCAGAGATGACATATAAATAACTTATGTAAATATAAATATATTTGCTTATATACATTATAAAGATCAATGTAAACTGAATTTCCCTTTAAATGAAAGTCCAAAAGTTAAATGGGAAAAAAATCTTTGGGAGAGGCCCAAAGCATTATTACTTTAAAATTCTTCATTTCTGATGCCTGCATAGGAGATACTAGTTCCTTAGATCCTCTCAGCACAGGTGTGCACACACTATGCTAGGCATATCCTCGATGTGGCTGTGCTGAGACTAGCAGAGAGGCCAAACACCTTCAGGAAACATTTCTACCTTTGCCAAATATTGTCCACAAAACTTGATTCACACCTGGCATCCTGGCTTTACTTTTCCAACCAGCTTGACCTGATCTTTAATTGTGGACCCTCTTGCTGGTTTCTGCTGGCGCTATCTGTCCTGTCCATTTGCTCTTTGACCCAGGTCCTTTGAATTCAGTGTACAGCCTGCTTTACTCACCCTCTGGAACTGAAGGTTCAAATGAGAATCAAAGGAAAAGACTTCACAGTTGCTCAATAAAAACGGAGCTATAGTATTCCGATGTGCTTTGCTTAGAGGGGCCTTTCCAATGGGGAGAGGTTCAAGACCATCCTGTGTTAGTGAGGGTTCTTTATTACAGGTGGCAGAATCCACATCAGCTACCCCAAATAAAGTAAAGTAAAATTAAAAGGAATTAGGTACCCTGTGGAATTTCTGGGAAGGCTAGAGAACTAGGTTTGAGACTCCAAAATCTCTAACTGTGCTCCAAATACAGGTGCCTCACTCACAGCACTTTTAAGAGTTCTGGTCTCACCATCTGTGGAGCCATCACTCTCTAGCAGCATGGCTTCCTGGTGACAGGCAGGCTCATTGCAGGAATGCTGCACTCCAACCTTTGGAGAACAAGAAGGAAAAGTAAAAGTGAACTGAAAAGTGTGTTACAGAGGGCATTTTTTATATGTGCTATATGCTAAAAATATTACTCATGGGGCATGATGAACTCCAGCCGCAGATGTGGAAATTTGGAGCCTAGACAGAAGGATGTTCCAGTGTAATGAAGCAAGAAGTTCTAGCTCAAGTGCTGGGGGTGGGGTCAGTGCAGCAGGAAAAGAGAGCCATACCAGGAGTCATTGTGAATGACTCTGGGTGAACGTGTGGTGTCGACACAGACTACAGTCACATGCCAGACTTCTAGGTGTGAATGTCCAGCACTTAATAGCTGTATGACTTTGATTTGCGTGTGTGTCAAATTGGCAAAATCTAACAAGCATTGTGATCTTTCAGCACATGGTACAGCCATGATAGTGGTTCCATAGCTCATATTACCTAGTGATGCCATAGCCTTCCTAGAGTAAGTACACTCTGATGAAATAGCCTCATGGTGCTTCTTATAACATATCCTCATCTATCAAATGTATCTATCTTTCTTTCTTTCTTTCTTTCTTTCTTTCTTTCTTTCTTTCTTTCTATCTCCTATCTACCTATCAATAGATCTTTCTAACTGGTTTTCTTTTCCTTAAAACTGTTCTCTCTCTCTCTCTCTCTCTCTCTCTCTCACTCTCTCTCTCTCTCTGTATTTTTCACTCCTGATTAGTCTTTAGGAAGTTCACCTTTCTGTAGGGATGTATCTGTGTGGTGGTTTGAATAGTAATGGTCCACATAGGCTCATATGTTTGAATCTTTGGCCCACAGGGAGTGGCACCATTAGGAGGTGTGGCCTTGTTGGAGAAAGTGTGTCATTGTGGTGGTGGGCTTTGAGGTCTCCTATGCTCAAGCTATGCCTGCTGCCTGCCTATCAAGATGCAGGACTTAGCTTCTTCTTCAGCATCATGTCTGCCAGCATGCATGCCACCAGGTTCCACCATGATGTAAATGGACTAAACCTCTGAAACCCTAAGCCAGCCCCGATCTCATGTTTTCCTTTATAAGCATTGTGTGGTCATGGTGTTTCTTCAGAGCAATAGAAACCCTAACTGAGGTAGTCTGTCACGCTCCAGAGTGGTGATGGTGATGAGAACAAAATGTGGAGCCAGTCCTATGAGATTCTCCTTCCTGGCCTGCCCCTGGGATGCCAGGCTGTGCTTTGAAGAAACTCCAAGTCTTTCCTCAAATCTCTGCACAGGACTAACATGGGATAGTGCAGGGAAATGGTAAAAGATTTCCCTCAGCCAATAATCTCCCAAGCATAGGGACAGATCAACCACAGGTTTTGCCTGCATGTACATTCACAACTCAGGCAGCTGCAGGCAGAGAAACAGATTTTTGTCTTTGTTTTTTGTTTGGTTTTGTGTTTTGTTTGTTTGTTTTCTTGCTGGAATTCTCTGGGTGGGCCTCACGCATATGTCTGCTGCTAACTAGGTGCCCTCATTATCCTTCCCGTGATTTCAGTTTCCTCCAGGACAGACCAGCTTTCGACCCACACAATCCCGAATTATAGGGGTCACTTCCAGCAACCTGAGGCTTAATAGGAACCCTAGCAACTTCATTTCCATCTATCTGGTCAAAAAGCAAAACTCAATCTGCCAAAATTTAAGGGCTATCGTTATGCAGCCTCTAGGGGTGAAATAGTCCTTTACAAAAATAAATAGATACCAGGATGGGGTGGGGGCTGGAGCAGGGGGTAATGGCTATTTTAGTACTATATGCTCAAATCTAGAACAGGGGCACATAAGCATTCAGTGACTACTGTGGTCTGAAGGTGTACCCCTAAAATTCATATATTGACTAGTGTATGGAGAGCTGGAGCCATTTCTGTTGGATGGGCCCACTGACCTCGTGTAAGAGTTGTGGACAGCTGCTACTCTGTCGTCTGAGCCACACCGCAAGAAGGTGTGAGCCTGCTAGTGCCCAGCCTCAAGTACTGTGAGAAATAAGTATCTGCCATGTATACATCACCCAGTCTCAAATATTCTGACACAGTAGTAGGAATGGAGTGAGAGAGGGATGCGGAGTAATTTAATGGTCCGTTTCCAACTCCTCAATAAAGCAAACACAAATATCATCATGATTCATCATTTCTTATTTTATAATTCTGTATGAAATAAAAAGATAATTTATAATTTATATAATAACTGTTATTCAAGGCAGGACTTATTATTTACACTTATTTATGTACTTATTTGTGTATTTTGTGTGTGGGGGGGTATGTTTCAGGGGTTGATTTCGGGTCATCAAGCTTGGTGGCAAGTGCCTTTAGTCACCCAGCCAGCTCTCTGGTTTCTGAAGACAGAAAATTTTAGTAACATCTTGGTGATGGACTTAATAACTTTGTTGTGTCTTTTAAAACTGTAATTTAAAAAAATTATTTAAAAAATCTTTATAAGGACCTTCTAGCCACCAAGGGTTTAAAATTCCCAGATCCATGTGAAGTTTTGAGGGTGCAGGATTATTAATTTTTTTGAGTCCTGTTATTGAGAGCTTTCGTTTTTCCCGTTCTCTGTCATTTCCTGTTCTCAAGGATGGAAAACTTAAGAGACTTTTCAGAGTCATTCCAATGGGTGTGTATGTCACAAGTGGAAAGGGCAGTGGAGATGCCTCTTTGGCTTAAAAACATTCACGCGTGCCCATGCTTTAACACAGACTAACTTTGGCCCCCAGTTCTAAGCAGTTCTAGAAGGAAACAAGAGGCAGCAGAAAAACCTGGGAAAGGAAGTGGGCATTGTCCTCCAGACCCTTGCCTGGCAACAGAGCCAGTCCTGCATGGGTTACTTCATTTCTCTGTGGGTTTCTTATCTGTTAACCAAAATGCAGGCTAGGTTAAAACCCTTCCTGCAATGATACACTTAAAGATAGAGACTAGAAGCTGGATGGATGCTGCAGGCAAGACCTTTGGCATTCCCCTCTGGTCCTGGGGGCTGCAAGCCATGCTTTGTGCTTACAGGATAGGTTCAGTAGGGCTTCTTACCCAGCAGGCTGTCCCAGGAGCTGGCAGGCAACCTTGTTGCCTATGTGAGAAGTCAGGGAGTATTTCGATCCTTCCCGAGTAAGGCTGAGGGTCTTTCTTCTCCATGCTCTCTTTTCAAGTTCAGTGTTTAGTTCCTGAACTTAAAACTACTGTGTGATGTTTTCAACCTTTGAAAACAACAACAAACTTCCCTTTTGAGAAATTTTGCTATTGCAGAAAAGATGATCCTCAAAATTTTTCACTCCTGTAAATCATTTAACTTCTTCCAAAACCATGTTTGCTCCTAATTTATACTTCACTATAATAGATAACCCAAAGCATTATAGCATTGTATTAAGTTCATTAGAATAAAACATTAAATATAAAGTTGAATGAGATTTAGGATGATAGGAAGAATGCAAAGAAAAACACCAACACATCAACAGTATCTATCTGGGGGGTTGGATGGAGATACAAATGTTTCTCCTATTTGCCTTCCAGAACTAACATGAGTTAAACACAATGCTATACACATGCAGGAAAAGCAAATCTGCCCAATAGTTACTAGGATAGTTCCACAACCACAGCTACACGTTTAAGAAGCAATTAAAATTTTTGTTTCCACTCTTAAAATAATTTATGAGTTTGTAAAAGGCTGATGTGAAAACAGTGACCTGCAGCTCCTCTTATAGTTGACTCTAATTTTATGGCCATGGATTATCCTCATGATAGTGAACATAGGCTGGATTTACAGTAAGTGTCTTTTTTCTTCAAGGAAAGTATATTAAACTGACATTCAAATGCCCTGACCATCTCTTTCACCTACCTTCAAATACACAGTCAAAAGCAAAGGTAAAAACCCCAAACAAAAACAACAAGAGCAGAAGGCATAGATTCTGCAACAATTCCAAATATGCACTATCTGCTCACTTTCTCCAGCAGTAGCCAGCCCCAGAACCCTAGCAGAGACTCACTTATCACCAGATGGGGTAAAGATACCCACGAGAAAACCACAGGCCCGGTCAGCCTGTGGCCAGGACAGAGCACACAAAATGATAAGAATGCCAGTGTTTAAAAGAGCTGTGACTTTCTGAAACAGAGGGGCACATGGACTTTGTCAGCCTGATGTTTTAACGAGGAGATGGATGCCACCCTTTTAGGTCGGCCAGCTTTTTTCTTGGGTGTGGGTGTGGGGAGGCTTCTGAAGATTCTAATTATATCTGAAGTTACAGTCAAGAGAAATTTGGCCTCTAGATTTCTGTTGTGACCAGCAATGGGCCTCAGGATTGCACATTTATTATTATTATCATTATTACTTATTAATAATAATTATGTGAAAGTACAGTGCTAGAAGCATTTTACTAGTATCTATACTGATCATTTGAGTTTCCATCTTCTAATGAGAAAAAAATGTCATTCAGGAAATTTCTGTGGCTGAGGTGAATGACAGATGGTTTGAAACAGAATTTCTCTCTTCTACAACAGTGAGGCTTTTTTAAACACGATGAGAAACCATTACCAAGAGGAGTTGATTTGTATTTTACCTTTTAAATGTAATATATCGTATGATTCAATCCCACGAAACAGGTTTTGAAGTAGATAAATCTGTAATGGTAGCTTCAAGAATATTCCTTTGACTTTGGATTTATTATTTCTGGTGTCTCTCTCTGGTGAGGGCACTGCACATGCTTATAAATCTGTGCAGTTTCTTTCTGTGTTTCAGTCCTTCGTGTTAATGGACTCTGTAACTGTTACATAAAACACATCTATCAGCAAAGGTTTGGGAACAAACATTTACACCAAGACTGTTTAAAAGTTGGCAGCCTTGGTGAATAGTAAATAACAGTGAATAGGACAGAACATAAATACACAGATCAATTTAATAACAGATTGTCTCCAAAGAATTAAAAACAGGGTTGCCTGGATTGTCAGGGAAGACATATCTAGGACTCAAATCAATGCAGTGGGAGTGAGGGAGCATCAGGACTTCAAGCACTGGGTCTGGGTTCCTTTACATTAAAACATTTCCTTTGGTTTTTGGAATAAAATCCACAACTAATCAGTCTTCTATTTCATTTACGTTGCAACATGGCTTTACATGCCCTTCCCACTTCTCACTTAGCATACTGGAATCCAACTGCACACCCATGGTCCTCAGTGAGCCATTTTGACCACCTACTTTTAAAGTTAGTTATCTGTGAAATTTCCATCACACTTGAACTTCATAGAAGCAAGAACATGAAAGTTTCCGATGGACTTCAATTCCTCGTTTTCAGAAGTTTCTAGCAATACTTATTTCCTTTGACACAGTTGTTCTGGGAAGTGTATGCGTTGTACCTTGCATGCAGCAGGCACATTCCATGAAAGCTGAATACCATTTCTAGCCTCTCCCTTGGATTAATCCTACTTTGTGCTCTTTGGGTCACTCACTGGCACACCAGTCATTATTAATACTGTTCACTCACCAGTTTTGAAACCCCAATGATATCCTGCCTGCATCTGCTCTGGCTAGTGACTGAGAGAGCTCAGGTGTGAATGCCTCTGGGAATCATAAGACTGCTAAGAGTTTAACTATCTAATCAAACATGGTGTCATGATATCACAGTATATGAGCTGGGGATTGGCAGGACTTTTATTAGGCAACATAAAAAAAAAAAAAAGCCTGAGAAACTGTGAAAAGACCTGTGAAAGACCCTGTCTCAAGAAAACAAAACAAAAATATTGTATTATTAAAAGTTTGACCTAGGCAGCTCATGAAGTGTATGCATGTGTGTGCATGTAGTGTGTGTGTGAGGGGGTGGTATCTGATACTACTACCTCTAGAAAAAAAAGTGTTGTACAAGGAAAATATGAGGACAAAGGAGGAGCCAAATAATGTCCCAGCAATCCTGGGTCCATATCCCAGGGCCAAGATCTTGGTGATTTTAGGTGACTATACTCTTATTTCCTTCAGCCTAACAAAGAAGTTCTCAGTTTACAAAGCATATCACATACCTAATCGGTATCACTGACCTTTGGCATTTATTGCCAAAAGTAAGTTTAACAAATATACTCTCCATACATAACATATTTTTTTTCTGGAGATAGTAATATCCCTAGATTATCCCCGACACACACACACACACACACACACACACACACACACACACACACACACACTTCATGAACTACTTAGGTCAAACTTTCAATGAGAAAATATTTTTATTTTGGTTTGTTTTCTTGAGACAGGGTCTTTGACATACCTCAGGCTGTTTTTTGTTTGTTTGTTTTTGTTTTGTAAGCTACAATCACATGTGCACTGGAACACACATAAGAAGACAGAAAATAGTAAATAAAAGTCCTAGAAAATGAGAAAAAATATGATAAAATAGAGACCATAAATTAAATACAATGTATCAAATATATTGTATTTTTCAGTAGATTTCTAGGCAGAGCATTTAAGGGGGGGAGGGGCCGACAACGACAACAAATAAAGTCAAAAAGAAAAAAGGAAACATTATAGGCCCTACCTACCTATAAAATCGTACAAAATACAAGATATTTTGTACAATTTTATATTAACAATCTAAAAATAAATAGAAATATTCCATGTAGAAATTGATGGAGTAGAAAATGTAGATGATTGTTCAATGAATTTCTTACAAATACATATTTAGAACTTTATAATAAATTAACTCCAGCAGCATTTGAAGGAGAAATGAGAAACCCTACCCAGACTTGGAAAGTGTAGCACTGCTAACTGTCATCGGCCACCCACAGCAAGAGGCCAGAGTAACCATGACACAAAAACTCACAGGAAACCCCAAGGAAAAGGAAATTTCAGCCAGGCCTCATTCATACATTCAGATGCAAATTCCCAAAAATAAGACTAGTAGATTTTTATATTCACATCAAAAGGGCAAGGGGATGATCAAGGTAGTCTGAATTGGGCCGTTTAATACCAGAAATATATGACCTCACAGTTCTTGAGGTTAAAATCTAGAATCAAAATGCCCGCTTTGAGGGCTCTGGGTTCTTCCTTGCCTCTTAGATTCTGTGGGTACCAGCCATCTCTGGTGTTCCTTGGCTTATAGAGTCATGACTCCAGTCTTCACTTCCATCCTCACCATGTTCTTCTTTGAGATCTTGTGTTTCTCCCATAAGGACACTGGTCACTTGACAGTGGGTACAGCCTACTCTACTGTGACCACATCTTAATATCGATTACATTAGCAAAATTATTTCCAGCTAAGGTCACATTCATAAATACTTGGAATCTCAATGTATCATTTTTGCTTTAAATTGTATTTAATTTTTTATTTATGGGGGGACACACAAATGCCACAGCCCATGTTACACATACTCACAAAGAGATCCACATACGTATTACATACATATAATTTAAGAAAAAAAATAAATATTTTTAAAAGAATGAGTTGTACCCACTTGGCATTTTGCACCAAAATAACATGCCAAAACACTGATGGATTTCACAAGCAAAAACTGAAAGAAAAAAAAAAAAAGACTGTAAGACTCATTGAAATGAAACTGTGTAAAAAGTCAAGATTGCAGCTAGTTTTAAGAGGGAAAAAAGTGTTAATAATAGAAAGGAGGTATATAAAGGATTTCTAGAGGACTGATGGCCTTTCTAGAGAGGATTTTTTTTTTGCCTGGGAGTGGTAGGGTAGTGGAGGAGAAACAGACACACCATTCACTTCATGAACATTGGTCAATATTCATCATTCTATTCTAGGTAATGTGCTTAGACCTGTGTCGTCAGGGGGAATAAAATTAGTCATGATCCCCATTCCCATGGTGCTTGCTTCAGATAAGAGAGACAGTGGTAAGCACAGAATAAATATATACAGTCCCCCAGGTCTCAAACAGGTAGCCTTGCTTCTCATTGGGAATTCCTTCTTGGGGGGTAGATAGAGCAAGGAAGAAAGCACCTAGGTCCTCAACAGACTCAACTGGAAAGATGATTCCAAAGTGGTCTGCTCCACCTTAAAATGCAGCAGCTACACATCCTGTCTATAAGAAATTTTTGCTCCACCTTAAAACACAGCAGCTACACCTCCTGTCTATAGTGCAGGCTTCCAGTGTTTTTAGATATACTCTTAGATTTCCAGGTGCTTATCCAGGGACAG